AACCCTCAACTAACCCTTACCCTAATTTTTATCAAATAGTCAAAAACATATGACTGGACACGGCTTTAGACGTCCCCTGTATTTGGTAAATATCAAATGTATGCATTTATAAAGTGCACTGATCTCAGAAATAAGCACGCCTGAAATTTGTGCAAGGTTTGTGGCAATCACGAAAATCTACTAAAATTCATTGATGTTAGAGTTAGCGTTATTATGGTTGGATGTCAGCAAATCATATAGTAAAATCGCTCAAGGAAAGCTTTTTGTTAGGGCACTAAATGTAGTTTTTTATTCGGATTTTTAGAAATAAGCGATTTTTGACAAACGACCGTTTGTTTTGCATCTTCCTGATCGTGTCGCGTTGCACGGATTTTGAGATCTGATTTTTAGTTCAGAAAACCAGCGCCGATTCCGTAAGCAAAATTGTTCAGGAATCTGCGGATTTTATGATATGTCATGCTACGTATACTTTTTTTGGAATTTCTGTTATGTTTACAAGAATTACTACGTAAGTTTTCTGCATATTAAATTAAATTTTCAACACATGGATGAAATCAGGCTAAACTGTACATTTAAAAAGCGTGTGTACTTATAGAGGATGCATTTAGGAAGGTTTGACTGTATTACTCGTTACAAATCAAACGATTTAATTGGAATAAGACGTAACTAATTTACCCATCTCTACTATCATTTTATTTCCCTTATTTGAAAATTCGTAATTGAAAAAAATACGTCATTTTTTAATTTTGAAATCTTAAATGTATTAGTTTATTTCTTGTATAGAAGTCTAAATTAAGTACGTATGTAATCAGGAAAGTGTCATTTTTGTAATAATCTTGCATGACACAAAAGAATTTATCAAATATATTGTGAAATTGACTAGCGAAAAATTTATACCGTCTTTCAATTTATAAAATTTATTAAATTTTTTATTTTAATAATTAAATGAAATAAAAAGGGCTTAATAAGGCTCTAGGTACCGATTATAATAATGAACTTTTAATGAACTTTTTAAGCACTCGAGCGTTTATTAATTAATAGGGATGCTATCGAATTGTATATTTAACTATATATTATAAAAAACAGATTAATGAATAGAGTCGAATGAGCGATAACATTCCTATTAGTTAACAAGTACTGAATTCGCTTAAATCAATTTAAACTTTTGCAAATCAAATTTTCAAATGATAAATAATTATACGTATAACACTTCTTTCAAACATTATTTATGTCATTTACTCATGTTAAGACCTAGAATTTTTGTAAACCTCAATTGTTACTAAATTTCTTTAATCTGGCTTCTTTCACTGCTTGAACGTCTGGTTTCAATCTTTGTTCTTCTATTTGCTTCTCAATATCCTCAGAAATTTCTACACGTTTTTTATATTCGATAGCTCTGTTTTTTCCAATTACAAACCGATTAGATAATTCTTGGGTAGTAATTTCAATTTGATCTGTGGCTTCCTTAGCATTTACTTTGCCAATAACACGATTAACCAAGAATTTAACACGATTAACTCCATTTTCATCAAAAGATGAAATATTAGAAAATCCATCAATCACATCTGCTGATCGAAAATCAATAGTGGTCATTACTTTTTTTGATACTCCAAGTGAAATACCACTACATTCGGCAAGATTCCAGAGAAGTGTTAACGCTTCATCTCGTATATCAAATACTGCCTCACGAATGTTTAATGAATTATCAGGATCAATTTTAGTAATATAGTTAGATAGAGCGTGTGAAATAGAAGTTAAAGATATAAGGTTATGCCAATTATTAAGACCAATACGTTGAATCATTTCGTCAGCGAAAGTTTCTGATGAATCATTAGGGGAAGAAAGTGAATGAATATTTTGTTCAGGTGTTGCAATTGTTGATGTTCCAAAAATAATAAAAGATCCTTGAATATTTTCATTTTTGTTCTTCACGGCTGTTATCCAATAAATTCGATTTAATAACCCCAGCAATGAACGTGTATTATAGATAACCGACAATTGGCTTGATGTGGCGCGTTCCTTCACTTCTGGATGATGTTCCCAAAAATTTTTTACACAAAGGTCTACCATTTTAAAGGTCATTAATCGAAGCGTGTTTTTCTCGGAAGTAGAAATCTGGTCAAGCGATAATGCTTGAATTGGTGAATTATGAGGTGCAAATAATAAGTTTTTAATATATTGTGCATAACGTCGAACATTATCTGACTTAAGATATATATTTTGATCACTGTATTTATAATCATGTAATAATTTTTGAAATACAGGTTTGAAACATTTTTGTGAGAGTAGTCCCATGCGAACTTCTCCATATGCTTCATCATTTTCTATTCTTTCCCTTTTTTTGTTTATATCGTTTATGGTTGCTGGTTGTCTAAGGGATGAGACTTTATTATTTTTCCTTTGTTCTGCGTTTTTTTGACGTTTTTGCATGGTGCTTTCAGCAATAATTAAAGTGTTTGCAAAAAGAATTGCATATGAATGAATTTCTTTAGATGCTCTATCATACGGCAATTTTTTTAAGAAATTTATAATCCAGGGAAGGGCACATGTAATAAGGTTGTTAGTACATTCATTATCTTCAAGGCTGGCAATTCTTTGTAAAGCCAACCATCTATAATTACGAATCATTTCATGATAACCTCCTAACATATCACCAGATAAATCCGGCGAAAATAGATTAAGAAGTTTATTTTTATCATCTAATATGTATCTAGACACATAAAGAGCAATATCCGTATTAAGACGTGTTAAAGCAGTGCTGACAATAACAAATTGTTGATATTCATTTAGGGCTGAAAAAGGTTCATTTCTGGTTAAAACCGTCAATTGCTTGTCTACAATATGTTTAATTTCCTCCAAAAAATTTTCCATATTGGTTGATTTTCGTTGCTCTACAGCTTCTTGAACACATTTTTTTGAATATTCGGCTATTCCATAATATGTCATTTGTTTAAGTCGATAAAATTGCTCATCTAATTGTAACGATGCTTGATCATTTTCACCACTAGTTGGAGGAGGAATTCTCACCGGAAGATAAGGTTCTACCTCAAGAAAATTAAGAAGACAGTCGAGAACATGAAAGTGAAATTGAGATTTGTCGGTTGTTGCTTTGAGACAATGTGATGCACGCTTTAGGATTTGCCATTCAATTAATTCCAATTTGAAACCACAAGAACTGGCAAAGGATAGGAAATTCCAACAATGCCAGTAAACATTATAAATAATGGGTGTATTCAAGAGATCAAGTATATTGTAGGTATTAATGCATAGTTTAATCCACGTATGTTCAATGGCCTTAGGTGAACGATTATGAATCAGTGTTAAACCATGAAGTCCCCAAGATATCAAATTGTCTTTTACTTGTAAATTATTTTCCGATTTCGAACTAAGGTATTTAAAATTTTTTAAATTACTAATATTACATGAATGGAAGCATTGAATATAAGGTTAAATTACCTTTCAAGAAGGCACTTTGCAATTTCAATGTTTATTTTGAAACCAATAACGGGATCTTTATCTTCATTAGGCTTTTCATTTTCAATTTCTATTCGTTTCTTAATGTCTTCACATAGTGCTTTATAATTTGTTTCCAATTCTGAGCCTTGGGTAGCAGACTAAGTTGAAATTGGTACATAAATTTAATGGCAAACGCGAGAATTTGTTATAAAATCATAAAATAATTAAATTTGTTCCTTACATCTTTTACAAGCTGATTTACTGAATCAATATACTCTTGGATTAAACCGCCTGTTTGTACATCGGCATATTGGATTATTTCATGATTAATAGCATCAGTAACACTTTGGGAAAGGATATTATTTGACATGATTTCTGTAAAAAGACTTTTCCAACATGCTTCAATTCCATTGTAAAAAGGGATCAAATTTTTATTTTCGATATCAGATTCATAAGTAACTCCCGCCAAGATAGCTTGCGAATATATAGAAAGTACATGAAGATCAGTTTCTTTGATACGTTCTAGAATTGCTGTAGGAAAGGCAAAATTGTCATTTGCGAGAGTTCGGGTGGCTATCATTTCTTCAGGAATGTATTGCCAAATAAATTCTTTTGAGTTTTGGAACCCATGTGTAAATGTAATCTGATCCTCAGACTGAGAAGAAAATAAATTATGTCTGACTAGGTCCAATTCCTCGCACTGTTGCTTAGAACCACGAACAATAACCGTGAGCATTGATGGTCCATATGTTTGAATAACGTTAGACCACAATAGGAGCAATTTTGCTTTTTCATGAACACAGTTAGCAAGTAGTTCCGAAAATATCGACTGTTCACCAATCGTTTCTTTAGGAATTGCAGTATGTATGACTAAGTGGCAGGAAGCCATGTAGGTAAAAAATTCAAGTAGAGATCCCGAAAGCTATATAAAGAAAAAAAAGTTACTAACGTTAAAGGAAATTACTATCAAAATTAATGTAGTGAATGTCTAAATAACAATATCCTTACAGGATTTCCATCTTCATTTATGGCAGAATCTGCAACATCACAACAGTCCAGAAATATCAAATTATGCTTTTTCAAAACATACATCATAACACCAACTGGCAATAACGATTTTGCTATTTGTTCTCCTGTGAGTGAGTATCCTAATTCAAATAAAAGACTATGAATTGCTGTAGTACGTCCAGACTTTTTTGTCCCGATGAATCCTACAACTTTGGCCTTATGTGGAAAGGAAGGCCATTCATTTGGATTGGAAAAGATGTACTTTTGTTCGATTGCATTCCAGCAAATTATTGGATGAATTTTAACCGATGAATATGTGTCTGATTCATTAACTGTTTCAGGTAGATTAAGTTTATCGATCGAATTGAAGAAATTACTTTGACTAGACAAATTGTATTGAAAAAAATCCGAATATTCATTTGTAATTCGAGATTTCTTTTTTTTGTCAAGGCTTTGAACATTTTCATTAGTCGAAATACCATATGACGATGAAGAGGTCGCTACTTTATTATTATTTGAATGAGTATTATAAGCATATACATATTTAGGATCAGTTTCATTCTCTGAAGTTTGGCCGACTCCATCACCAACTTCATGCGCAACGTTAGAATAAAGGTATCTTTCAGATTGAGATCGAAAAGCTTCAATTGCATCTTTCGTGGAGTAAATTCTTACGTTATCCCATGCACGCGATTTAATAATATGAGTACTATTATCGGCAGGGGACTTATCCTTCGAATCTGAATCTGTTGAATTTGGATTGTCATTTCGGATTTCAAATTCTTTTTGCTCAGTGGATCTAAAGAGATTTTCATCGTCCCTAATTTCATCGCGATATCTGATAGCAGTTCTTGCAATCGCATTTAGTGTGGTTTCTAATGAAGATATTAATAAAGTTCCTTTATGATTTATTTCTAATTTGCCATTGTTAATTATTTGACTAATCGTTTGAGAAGTCAAATTTGTTGAATAATTCTCTGCAGTTTCAACTGCAGGAAGAACGAGGAAATTTACACTGCGCCAATTTTTTAAAAAGTTTGCATAAGAGATTATATTTGTTTCGTTTTTTAATTTATCTGCAGTTTTTTGCCATAAATATCCAACAAATTTGATAACCTTATTATAAGCCGCTTCAGTTCCATATAACAAACCAAAAGACAATATTGTGCCAAAGAAAAACACTGTAAATAATTCTTTTAAAGTTTCTGTGTATGATTCCTCTTCAATAAATATGTTGTCAAATATAATTGCTGATCCTGAAATTAAATATGTAATTATAGCTGGTTTCGAAAGCTTCAGGAAATTTGCTAATTTTTCACATTTCTCAAAGATTTTCTTTGTGGTGTAACTAGCGATATTACTTCCAAAAACTGAAGTCGAAGACAAAAGTGCACCTATACTCGACTGATTTAAGAATTCAACCCATGTCAGCTTTTTAAAGAAACAAGCTATAAGCGCACTAAAACCAGCCGCAATCAGCATTTCATTAATGGAAACTCCAAAGATTAAAGGGACACCCAAGTATACCACATCCAAGCCCACGACTGAGTAATGTAAGTAATGAAAAGTTACAATGAATTAAATAATAACAATAAAAATTTGGATTTGATTTAATTACGTACGAATACAGGCAACGGCACTTAATACTTTTGAGACGTTCGCTCCCATAATTGTTGTTTAATAATGGTTTTGTTCGAAGATTCCAATTTTTTGCACAAAACTTGAGATATCAAATTGCAAAAAGGTTTAAACTTGTTAATCGCTTAAACACAAAGAACTAAAAAAACTTCAATCTCTTTATATAGAAATCATAAAAAAAAAGAAAAAACAAAATTAGACCATATCTCATTAATAATAAGCCAGATTTATCGTTCTTAATAGAAACTTACTCGATGAGATATAATTTTTTTGCGTATTTTTCTATCGCTTACGCAAAGAAATTGGGTTGCTGCACCGTACCAATACGTACGAAACTTATACCTTCCTTTTTTACCAGGAACGGAGTAATGTGTATTTGAGTCCGCAAAATCTAGCTACCCCAATCATCTTTTCGTATGACCGATCCATTTAGATCTCATCGAATATGCACAATCGTTTAGAGTAATAAATCATTATGATTGGGTTAGAGCCATGTCCAAGACATGTTGCTCGCTAGAGCGCAGAAAGTAATTTCTTAGACAAAATTTCGAGTTTACTGGAAAAAATCCTTCATAATATTGTGGCATCACATTTCTATATTTATATAGTGTATAAGACCATATAACACATGTGCATGCATATCGTGCGCATGATCTATTGTGGGATAGCCAATCGTTATTAAAAATATGTAAGGTTACGGCACGATTCTCCGAAAGTTATTTACCCCACAATTCATCTACAGCACATTTTTTCGATGACAAATATTTGATATTACATGTTTTCGACAATCCTTTTCTTAGACAAGACATTTCCCCGACAACTTTAAATCAACCAACCCAAAGTCCGGGGAAATGTCCTGTCTAAGAAAAGGATAAGTAATGTCGAATATATTTCTTATAATTTGGCGGATAAATAGTTTTCGGGGAATTGAGCGACAACCGATGTAAATAAAACTTCACCCACTAATTAAAGTTGTCTAAATGATAATTTTGCCATTGCAATAAGCAGTTTGCTGCTGAAATTTTGACTTATTTTATAAAACATTTTTGGGGTGTTTTATTTAGCTTTTTTTTCATAGTTCGATTAGAAGTTAGGGTTAGTGTTATCATAGGCAGAAATTCGTCTGATTGGTTAATGCAAATCAATTGCCCGGGTAACTTATTTATATGTTTTAGAGTACTT